ATAGATATAAACAGGAGTTTATTGATTTAAAAAACGATTGCCGATAAAAAAGAAAAATAGTCCGTTCTGTCTCTACATTTAGAATCCATGGCAACGCTCTGTTTTTCATGGCAACGGTGTGTTATACTTATAAGCAGCGGCCTGTTATAACAACAGACCGCACTCTACATTAGAATTCAACCAAGCCATATAAGAAACAAATAATTACCGTTACCAAGCTATCAGAGCTACGTAAACAGAGCGAATAGGAGAGCACCCGTCTGCAGACGTCAATAATGGAATATACTCCCGATCAAACTCCGCTTCCCGAAAGTTATAAACTGCCTCTGGAACCTAGTTAAGGTACAAACATTTATTCAACAAAAATAGTGATGCAGTTAAGTGTTTTTTCGCTCAGCCGAGCCCTCTCTGTTGCTGTGTGGAGCAGCCTGTGTCAGTCGCGCACTGCAGTCTCATGAGGAACGCAGCTTTTTGACATACAGTACGTCTTGTTCCCAAACACAAATATTTTTTTAAGTCTTTGTTCGGAATAATTATTCGTAAAAAACACATTATTTGTGCCTTTCCGAAAACCGTATTCGGATCCAACCCTAGTACACACTATATTTTGCATAGTTAATTTATTTAACAAATTATTTTTTGTTAATGTTTTGCAGTCATACTATACATATACTGTACACACTATAAATGTGTGTGTGTGTGTGTGTGTGTGTGTGTGTGTGTGTGTGTGTGTGTGTGTGTGTGTGCGTGCGTTTGTGTGTAAGCATGCTTTATGAAGTTAACATGAAAAAATGGTTTGCTTTAGTGCAGAATATTGGAGAAACAAAGTATTTCAAAATGGAAGTGTGCCAATAAGTGGTCTTCTACTGCCCTCTGCTGGCCACTTTTCTTTCTATATTGTGGTAAACCATCCTATAACATGGTATATCAAGGTAAACTGTGGAAAATCATGTTAGATTCATGGAAAATCATACTAGAACATGGTAAATCATGAAAAATTACATTGAAATATGGTTTATCATGGTAAATAATGCTTGCTACATAAAACTTAATGTCTTTTGATGCTTTTGTGCTTAAAGGCCTTAAAGGCCTAAACTGCTTGAACCCCGCTAAATGCTGCTTGCAGCTTTAATTATTATTATTATTATTCTCCCCTAAAACGCATCGTGCAGCCCAAACCGTAAGTGCTGGAGCTCTGAAACTTTGTCAGATGGTAGTACAAAAATCGAGGAGAGGTTATCAAATTATGACCCCGATTGGCCCATAGGTGGCGCTGTAGCAACCAATTGCGCGAAACTGCTCATAACTCCTAGACCGTAAGTCGTACACAGAAGTGTCTTATATCATTGGAAAGCTGCTCACCTGATGAAAAAAATGTATATCTCCGATTTCATTTCCGTCATGATAGATTTTCCGTCATTTTGAATTTTGTCGAAAAACTACTTTTGCGAACTAGTCCCTGGTTTTTTGCCCGATCGGAACCAAACCAGTGCAGGAATGTTCTCTGGAGTCTGAAGATCAATAATTATCAAAAAAATGTTGAAATTTCTCGTTCTGGTCGCTAGGGGAAGCAAAATAAACGTTGTGGGAGGAGCCTATTTTACTAAAATGGCTATAACTCGAGAAGTAAATGAGATATCTTCACCAAACTCGGTACACATGTGTAAGAGTTCAATTTGAGGTCACAGTAAAAAAATAGCGACGATTGAACACTAGGTGGCGCTATAACATGAAAAAAACATAAAAAGGGCTATGACCACATGACCGTTAGTCCGATTGACTTGAAAATTTGTATGCAGTGTCTTGGACCAAGGCCCCATGTATATCTATGAGGAAATTGGCGTATCTAAAAAAACATGGCCGCCATCGGCCAATGAAGTTTGAGCATCGATGAGACAAGGTTAACGAAGGCCGATCGGAACGAAACTCGTTGGGCATGTTTGACTCATGGCCCTAGAGGTCTGTAAGAATTTTGAAAGAAATCGGCCACTAGTTGGCGCTAACGAGTTTTATGGCTCTGTTATCACGTGGTGTTGCACACACCCCCACAATATGTATACCAATTGATAGATCTCCTCATGCTGAACAACTTTGCCTCAAGAACTATTGCTGTCAATCAAATCGTTCGTTAAATATTCACGAATATGTTAAAAACGTACTTTTGCAAACTAGTCCCTGGTTTTTTGCCCGATCGGAACCAGACCAGTCTAGGATAATTCTTTGGACTCTCTAGATCAATAATTATCAAAAAAAAGTTGAACTTTGTCATTTGTTTTGCTATAACAGGGTCATTTATAAAAGGGGGCATGACAAAATGCACCCAAAAGCCTATAAATCCTAAAGGAAAAGTCAGAACTTCACAAAAATTGATGAGCACATGTGTCATAACTTATTCAACAAGCATGCAAAGTTTCATGGAGATCGGACTATAGGTGGCGCTATAACTGTTAAAGATGTTAAAAACAATGTATTCCCTATGGTAAATTGCCATTATTGAAACTTAAACCTTGATGTCTTTTGATGCTTTTGTGCTTAAAGGCCTTAACGGCCTAAACTGCTTGAACCCCGCTAAATGCTGCTTGCAGCTTTAATTTTGTTTGCATTCGCTGCTAGGTAACGACTAACGAGTCGATAGATCGCTGATTGCTCAGACGCACATCAGGTTGTGATATTTGTCGCCGTCTCCCTCCCACAGATGTTTACGCGCGCTATTCTTGTCACGGATTCATTGACGCGCCGCTTTACCATGCGTTTAACGTGTGGCAAATTCACTGGTCGCACATGTGCGACTGGATGTAAAATTTAGTCGCACACTCTCAAATTTTGGTCGCAGTCTGGTCTAGAGCCCTGAAATGACGCGGGGCGTTCAAGCTTCTCCGTTCCTCCGCTCGCTATGACGAAGCTGTGCGTTGACTGAACAACATGCGCACGTTTTTTCATTTTTTTTTTTTTCATAATCAATCCGCGGATCACGTGTGTGCCGAACCGAAGACATTGATCCGAACGGATCACGGATCAGTGATGATCCGTTGCACCACTAGTACATAGTCAACCGTTCTCTGAGATTTGTTTTCATGATAATCGAATGTAAAGAGTTTTATCTCTAAAAAATGTTTAGCGTATAATGCTAGTAATGGGGGCATTGACTAAGTAAAAAGAAACCGCTAGTTTTTACCACTAACAAGGCTCAAAATAGCCCCACACTAACGCAGTAACATAATGAGGCTCCATACATGCAAAACGAAGCATTGAGAACTTTGTAAGTGTGTACAGACCGTTTAATAAGAAGATACTTTATGAAAACAGTTCACTTCGCGTATACAGACAGGAGCCATCTTAAAAAATAGTCTCGATAAGTCAAACCACGAACGTCGTGCTGAGTGAGCTGAACTGTATGAAGTTCAGCGAACTTCTGAACTGTATTCGAGACTATTTTTTAAGATGGCTCCTGTCTGTATACACGAAGTGAACTGTCTTCATAAAGTATCTTCTTATTAAACGGTCTGTACACTTACAAAGTTCTCAATGCTTCGTTTTGCATGTACGGACACTCATTATGTTACTGCGTTAGTGTGGGGCTATTTTGAGCCTTGTTAGTGGTATAAACTAGCGATTTCTTTTTACTTAGTCAATGCCCCCATTACTAGCATAATACGCTAAACAGTTTTTAGAGATAAAACTCTTTGCATTCGATTATCATGAAAACAAATCTCAGAGAACGGTTGACTATGTACCGATGTTTTATTAGACCAAATGTTCATTGTTCGCCGGAGTTCTCCTATAATTATGTCGTTAGAGCTGTAAATTGCCTCATTAAGCTCATTTTATTGGCGTCAACAGACTTGAGCAAATGGAACGATCAACTTACTTGTGACATCTACTAGATCTAAGTAAGTCTAATAACAGCATTTAATTAAGCAAGTTTACTTTCTTTTTTTAATTATTGTTTATATTTGGTATCTGTATTATGTATTTTTTCTATAATTATTTGCCAACATGTTAATGAGAGGTAAGATCCTAGGAATAAAGTATTTGTATGAAATTTCTTAAAAAATAAAAAGTGTTCAAGTAGGTGTGTTGACTAGAAGTTTTGATTACCCAATGGGACACACTTATAGTGACATACAAATTCAAGTGTTTACAGAGCTTTATTTTCATTTTCAGTTCTTTGCATTTTAAAATCAACAATGTCTGGTTAGTAGTCCCCAATGTAACAAAAGGCATAATTTAAAAATATGGTGCTTTTAATTAAGTGATTTTAAAAAGCAGTTGCAAATGTACAAAATACACATACCATACTCATCTTTGCAACATTATAATGACACTTTTTTAACAATGTGTTTTTCTACCAAATTACATGTAATATGTAATTCATTTAACTTACAGTGGAATGTTTTCCTCATCATCTTGTGAATTGGGATACGCTCCAATGCGGTAATGGGATACATGATGGGATACGCTCCAATGCGGTATTCAAGACATTAGTCATGTTCATTTAGTGTGTGTTCAGGGCATTGCGCGTATAGTAACAATCGGTTTTGAGTGTATTATGTTGAGTATAATAAAGCAGTGAGGGGATATTTGTCAGTCCTGATAATGCCAAATGTCCTATGTTACCAATAAAATTGCAAGCATATTCATCAATTATAATTCTGTATTTTCAGCTTCAGAATCATGAATTATTTTTATTCCGGTGTCTGTGGTCCTGTGCATTGGTTTCCCAGCCAGCACCAAGTCCAAACCTTTTCTTTTCCACACCCAATGTAATACCAAATTTAGCATTTTAATCAACAGTAAATTCTTTGTTAACCTTAACCTTTTTTCTTTGTTATTTTTTTGTTAACCTTTTTCTTTGTTAGCCCTGTCTATGAAATCAGACCTTTGAGATTAATTTACTTAAAAGTTACTTTACTAGCTAGAAAAGGTGGGCATAAACATTTAAAATGTGTAAATTAGTATAAAAACAAATTCAGTAAGTGTTTTCTTATTGTTTTTTTCAGATCTCCTCCTTCAGTGATGCTCCACCTCCTCCTGTGAAGCTCCTCCCACTGCAGTTCACCAATAAACGCTGGAATATTCCTCTCAGCTACAAGTGAAGATGAGCATCAAACCATGAGGAAGAGCTGAAATCTACAAACACAGAGTTTATTGAAGGACACTGAGAACATGAGATCCAGAACACTGCAGAATGAAACACACTGAAGAACAAAGAGGTTGGTGTTAATTCTTTATTAAAGGCACAGTATGTAAGTCGCTTATTCTAAACAAAGGCATAGCTTGATGATGCCGTGAATGGGCGTGGAATCGTTGGAGGTCTTGTCTTTACCTACAGAACCGATGAAATACAATCCGATGGGACTTAGGCAGAAATCATGTTAATGAGCTAATGTATTGAAGTTTTATTAACATTACGGGCCGAGGTCGCTGAAGCAATTGCTAATCAGAGAGACCTGCGCGACACACTGGGCCTCACGTCCCATTGAGAGCAGCGGAGCATTTATTATGCTTGCTATGAGACATTTGATTCAAAATGCTATTAGCTAGATGGATATTAGAGTATCATATTAATAAAAGCTGGATGACTTGTGTTGCTAAATGTCACGCAGTTATTTTAAAGGGGTGGTTGATTATGATTTCACTTTTCTAACTCTAGCTAGTCCAAGGCTGTGAAAAAGGTCCATTCCGTCCACCGTCCACGAACCCACTATTTTTATAACTGCATAAATGCTACGTGGGATCTCAATATCTCTGCTCTGGAAGGGTCTAGAGCAGGGGTGGGCAAACTACGGCCCGCGGGCCACATGTGGCCCGTTATGCTGTTTAACCCGGCCCGTCGAGTTTGTTAAAATATTGTCTTAAAGATTGCATTCGGTGGCGAGGGGGGCTTGGTTCAGCGCGGTCTGTAGCGGGAGAGCGAGGGGGGGAGCCGAGCGGTAAGCGGGCCGTGCTGACAGAGTGAGAGTGGGGAGAGAGAGACTGGGAGCTCGTGCACGCGCTGTAGAGAGAGAGAAAACACTGGGCTGCAAGCTGTTTCAGTGGAAAGAGTGTTGCTGCATTTGTGACCTGAGAAGCTGTATCCAGCGGGAAGAGTATTGTTTGATATGTGATTTGTTTTTGAAATATTCTGAATTAATTGTGTGAGCGCGAGCAAGCGCTGTGGGGAGAGAAAGTAATTCAATAAAGTGCACAAGCCCCAGTATTCGCCGACCCTGTGTCTCCTTCCATCACCCGTTCACCGAACCAACATCCCTGTCACACATTCATTTAGCCTTTTTCCTGTAATACTTGAATAAAGCAGATCATTCATTCAGAGCTGTTGTGGCTGTGCTGCGGTGTGTCACGTGACAAGCAATGACGCGTCACCATGGAAACCATAAAGTGAATAAATAAATAACGGTTGCATTGCAAAGCTCACGCTGCAGAGTCAGACCGTTTTTTGTAATTTGTCATATGCAATTTATAACTAATATCCCAGGAAACAGAACGTTTGCACGATTGAATCGTTGACATTTCAGCACTCCTTCAGACAGCGACTTAAGCGCAACAATGGCTCCTTGTTGCACATTAAAGGGTTAGTTCACCCAAAAATGAAAATTAAGTCATTAATTACTCACCCCCATGCTGTACCAACCCCGTAAGACCTTCGTTCGTCTTCGGAACACAAATGAAGATATTTTTGATTCAATTTGAGAGCTGTATAACTACCACATTGGCTCCTAAGGGACTGCCTCTTGATGGCCCAAAAAGTCAATGAAGAAAATGTTTAAATATCCCAAGTGACTACCGTGGCTCAACTATATGTTTATCAAGCGACGCGAATAATTTTTGTGCGAAAAAACAAACAAAAATAACGAGTTTATTCGACTATTTCTTTTCTTCCTTGTAGGCCAGAACGAGACTTCCTTATAGATTTCCACGACGGATGCGCGAGAATTGCGATCTAAAGTAGTGTAAGCTGGCGTAAGCAGATCGCAAATCTCGCGCATGCGTCGTGGAAATCTAAGGAATTCTCGTTCTGGCCTACAAGAAAGAAAAGAAATAGTCGAATAAACTCGTTATTTTTGTTTGTTTTTTCGCACAAAAAGTATTCGCGTCGCTTGATAAACATATAGTTGAGCCACGGTAGTCACTTGGGATATTTAAACATTTTCTTCATTGACTTACTGGGCCGTCAAGAGGCAGTCCCTTAGGAGCCAATGTGGTAGTTATACAGCTCTCAAATTTAATCAAAAATATCTTCATTTGTGTTCCGAAGACGAACGAAGGTCTTACGGGGTTGGTACAGCATGGGGGTGAGTAATTAATGACTTAATTTTCATTTTTGGGTGAACTAACCCTTTAATGTTTTTTCCTTTTTTGGAAACTCACAGAGAAAAAAAATGTTAGTAACCACTTGTACGCCTGATTAGTTTTCATTTGATTTTTTTAGTTTTTCATTTGATATTTAGTTTCTTTGCTCCTCTGTATTTGTCTCATGGACTGCTTCTGGTTACCTTTATCGCCCGCTCCCGTCTCTGCCGTTTGTTCAATAAATGTTCTTATCTGCTTTTGATTTTTACATTTTATTTATCATACTTAAAATAAATTGGTAAATTTGTTTATTTTTATTTTATTTTTTCACAAATGTATGACATTTGTGTATTAAGTGAAATTTGATCACCATTATGGAGTTTTAATAAAAGTTTTAATAAAGTTGAATTAATGTAACCTTTTTACTCTACTAAGTGTACACTTTAATGTGTAACTGCATGTGAAAGTCAAATGTGTAACTGCATGTAAAAGATAACGAGTAACTGCATGTGAAAGTTAATACTGGTAGGTAGGTAGGTAGGTAGGTTAATGTGTAACTGCATGTGAAAGTTAATACTGGTAGGTTAAAGGGATACTCCACCGGGTTTTCATATTTAACTCGTGAAAAGTCCTCTTACCGGCTCCCGCTTCCTCGCTCTCCCCCTCCCTCTTATTTCCATCAATGCAGCCAACGTGACATGCGACAAAGCGGGAGCCGGTAAGAGAACTTTTCACGAGTGAAGGTATTATTGCGCCAAGTTGAAGTGCTCTAAAGCACTTTTTTATGGTATTCCGTTATACAATATAGTCATCAATTTTAAACGCTTAGAAAAACACAACGTTTTATTTTGTGTCACCAGCCTAGGTCGAGTTACACTAATCGAGTAACTGTGTTTAAATAGGGAAAACGAGGAAGTGTTTGGTCGCTTCTCTTTTTGGCCCATATTTAATGCACTGGGCTAAGCTAAGTGCTAACATAGTTTTGCGGCAATACAGAGCGATAGAGTGCACGCACTGAGACGAGAGAGGTATGCATCAGCTCGTCTTAATTAAGGGAATAACATAGTTTAATATGAAAACCCGGTGGAGTATCCCTTTAATATGTAACTGCATGTGAAAGTTATTATAGGTGGGTAGGTAGGTTAATGTGTAACTGCATGAATCACAATATAAAATAAATGATTTTCTCCAAAACACGTTGGCCACAAGCAGTGATGGAAATAACGGCATTACTTTTTCCAGTAACGACAACGAGTAATCTAATTGATTACTCTTCTCATCTTAACAACGCCGTTACCGTTACTGCCAAAAATGCGTCCCGTTTTTCCATCAGACCAACTAGATCTCTGAGCGAGAGGCACACTTTTTTTACTGTTCTTCCATGGAGCACGAGACAAGCGCATAGATGCTGACGATTGGCTGAGGTAGAGTAAACTGTCACTGTAAGCCAATCAGAGGTAGAGTTGGGGCGCGTGTTCTAAAGCACGCATAGTAGTGATGAGCATTCGGCTCTTTTGACTCAGCTCTGAAAAGAGCCGACTCTTTTGGCTCACAAGCGGCTCTTTAAATGACTTTGACTATAATATTTAATTTTTTTTTACATAATTATTTAATTTCCATAGGCTAAATTTGTATAAATAGAGTCGGCTCTTCAGATATGCGAGCCAGGTCCCGACGTTCAAATAAAAGAGTCGGCTCATTCGCGAATAGCGAACGACCCATCAAAAGCTCATTCGCGAACGAGTCGATCCATCATCACTTATTACGCTCCTCCGCGAACGACCCATCATCACTATCGGCTAAAGGCCAATTTATACTTTTGCGTAGGGTGCGCGCAATAGGTACAGCGTAGCATACGCAGAGACGCGTCCCATACCGCGTACCCTTCGCCGTAGCCTGACGCGCACCTCCTCAAAAATGTAACTACACGTCGCGACGACGCGGACCGCAAGATCTGTGATTGGTCGGCTTGGTAGCATCGCATTTCCTCCTACGCATTTCCGCACGTGCCTTCTCACGCATTTCCACACGTACCATCTCCTCCGACGTCTTCTCTCATTTCTGCCTTTCAGTTTTAGTAATTTCACTAAAATTAACTGTTTTTCCAACTCAATAAGCTCCAAGTCCAACATGATCCGCTCTCTTTCAGGCTTGCAATAACCTAGCCGCACCTCGGGGAATGTAAACAGTGGAACATTAAAACCCTCCGCTGCCAACTAGCGTTTCGGAGCAGTACTGCAGAGCAACCAAGACCTGAACGCAGAAGTATAAATGCTCACAAAAGCGTCGCCTACGTGCGTAGCCAACGGTTTTTCTGCTATAATGCCTGATGAGTTTTGAGAACACCTGACAAGAGATCAGAGACCATTCCTCCATACAGAATCTCTCCAGGTCCTTCAGATTCCCAGATCCATGTTGGTGCTTCTTCTCTTCAGTTCAGACCACTCATTTTTTTTTATAGGGTTCAGGTCAGGGTCTGGGACGGTCATGGCAGAAGCTTTATTTTGTGCTCCCTAACACATTTTTGTGTTGCTTTTGATGTTTGTTTTGGATCGTTGTTCTGATGGAAGATCCAACCACGGCTCATTATAAGATTTCTAGCAGAAGGTGTCAGGTTTTGATTTTTTTTTTAGTTTTTTATTTTTATTTATCCGTTGATATTTGATAGAATCTACAATGCCATGTATCTGAGTAAGAAGTCCAGGACATCCTGCAGAAAAATAGGACCCCAACATTAAAGATCCAATGGTATATTAAATTGTACACATGGGGTACTTTTTATCCTCATATCCACCAAACTCTCTAGTGTGCTTTCTGCCAAAAAGCTCTTTTTTTAAGTCTCATCTGACCACAGAACCCTGTGCCGTTTGAAGATCCAGTCGTGTCTGATCACTGAATATGCTGGAGTTTGTTTTTGGAAGAGCGAGGAAGATTTTTCTTGAAACCCTCTCAAACAACATGTGGGGATGTAGGGGTTGTTTGATAATTTTTTTTATTCAATACTGGTAGGTAGGTTAATGTGTAACTGCATGTGAAAGTTATTACTGGTAGCTAGGTAGGTAAGGCAAGGCAAGTTTATTTATATAGCGCATTTCATACACAATGGCAATTCCAAGTGCTTTACATAGAAGAAATTAAAATAATCAAAAGAAATCAGAATAATTAAAACAGTTTATACAGTTTATAATAATAATATAATATAAGTATAATATTTGATAAGCTGTACACTTTTATAATCTGCACTATTGCTATAAATCTTTATAGGGTGGTGGTAGTATGGAAGATGAAATATATTATAATAATTATAGAATTATGAGCCTCCCCTTCCTTTTCTCTCTATAAGTAACCAGTCAGAAAATACTACGTAAAAATATTAGTAACATTATTTTCTATTCTTCTTCTTATTATTTATTTTTATGAATTTTTTTTTTCCTGGGTCGGGCATCTGTTCTGGGTGCTGTTGGTGGGCGCAGCTCACCTAGCCAAACTCTAGCCAAACCCCTCCCAACAGGTAAACTAATTCTTTTTAATTGATACCTGGGTTGGATGTGGTGTCTCTGGCTGGGGAGCCAACCAGTGTACACCTTGGTCCAAACCATGGGGGAAAAAAAGGGGGCCAACCACCAATAACACTTGGCTATGTCAGGTCACAAACAGACTGGGGGAGCTTGGTTTGGAGGTGCCTGTTGTGGTTCCCCGGTGGAAAAACTCAATGTAGCCCAGAAGGTTAACGATGGGAGTTGGGTGTCACTGATGGTGGTGGAGGGGAATCGTGTTATTGAATCGAGGGGAGACGTCTGTGTCTGGGGGGTCTGTTGGATGCGCTCACTGGCAGTTCTAGATCAGCCCCCTGACCCAGAGTTTAGAGCAGATGTACAATGAAATTAAATGTATTCTTATTGTCATAGTACTATTGTCACTGCTGTAGATTGCTAGAGCCTATATTACTATTGTTGTCATGAATATTATCATTATAAATACTATCTTTGATACTACCACCACTAATACTAATATATATATATATTTCTTTGTGTTTGTCAAAGCCTCTATCATATCCTCTACAACTATTCAGATACTACCCAATTGCATCACAGAAAGGATCTCCTGTGCCTACATATACCAATTTGTTGATGACTGTGTGGGGCTGTTTTGTATTTTTCTGTTCTCTGTGTTTCTTATTTGTTTTTTGTTAGTTTTTTTGTTTTCTTTTTCCCCTTTCCTCCTTCTGTATTGTAAATGTGTCTCACTGAATCTTACCTGGTATGTGTTACTCTTTTGTTAATCTGCAACAAAAAAATAAAATTAAAAAAAGAATAATTAAAACAGTTTAGAATAAAAAAATATTAAATAATGAAAAATAAAAATAATGATAAAATAAAATACAGTAAATAATTAAAACAATTTAGTATCAAAAATAAAATGAAGTACAGTAACAGTCGGACGAACAGTGGCACAGTGCTCATTCAGTAAATGCACAATTAAACAGATGTGTTTTGAGTCTGGATTTAAATGTGACTACTGTAGGAGCACCCCATATCTCTTCTGGAAGCTGGTTCCAGCTGTGGCTGGCATAATAGCTAAAAGCAGACTCTCCATGCTTAGAGTAAACCGCATCAAAAAATGATTTGTGTACTATCAACATTTCCTTTAGTTTTTAAAGTGCTGTTTTTATTTTGCAGCTCTCCTACAACAGTTTTACATTAACCCAATGTCAAAAGCACTATTTTACTCATACTGCACATCACTTCATTTCTCAAAGAGTCTGAAAACATTTGGACCCTCCCAAAAGGGATGAAAATTATAGTTTGGGGGGTTAGTACAAGTAATAATTTGTAATTGAGTAGGCTAGAAAGATTTGTGTTCACTTCAGTCGTGATAATTCAGTGCGTTCATCTGAGTCTCGTTGGTCTGTCACTGCTCATCAATGTCAGAATATTTGAGATGACCAATCAAAGTATGCTGCTTTATGTTCAAAAAAGCATGCAAGTTGAGTTTCCAGCATGCTGTGTGATGCTTTCTCCAGTGTGTGTGTGTGTGTGTAAAGTAGTCTCAGTGTGGCCGTGCACAATGAGTGATCGCTCTTGGAAAAATTGATTGCAATCTGAAACATCACCAATAGAGGCCGCTAAAAATACATATAGCACCTTTAAACGTACAGTATGCGATTTTTGGCCACCAGGGGTCACTCGTTTAAAATAATAACAAAAGACGTACTTTGATGACGTCGGGAAAGAGCATGGGCTCACGGGAGTTGTTGTCGCTGTCAATGACAACCAGCTCAGCTCATGACATGACATCATCGTTTCACAAAATATACGGATATACGGCATCTCTCTGTAGATTTAGCTTGTCAAGAAGCTTTAAATGCAACGCCAATGTTTACCTGTGTCATGCTTCTCCTGTCCCAAACCCTTCTCGGGTCATATTTTTCACCCTTACGTTTGAGCTTTAGCTAATGAGCTGGCTGTAGCAGCAGAACGTGCAGGCAAAGTGTAATCGTGGTCCATAACAACAATACAGACGAATATAAATATTTATATTACGCTCCTTCAATGAATGACCTATTTTAGAACATTTTTCATTTATAGGGCGCACCGGATTATAAAGCTCATAAGATACTGCAGTCAAACGTTGCAGCGGGCACGTACATTCGCAGCCTGACTCATAATGAGTATTCAATGTGCGCGGCTCGCTAACAGCAACAGTTGGCTTTTTTGAATGAGACGACACGGTTACTGTGAACGGGGAGCGCTTTATGCGTGAGCAGCACCGGGGACAGTGTGTCTGTTAAGAGTGAGCGCTCGTGAGCGGGCACGTGATTTACACACACAAAAATACGTACTACTTTTTTTTTCTTCGTCATTTTCTTTGCTTTATTGGCGGTAGTCCAGTGTTCCCCTTTGTGTTTGGCGGTTTCGCCGGGTTCCGCAAGGAAGTTAGAGAAAATAGAGGAGTCAAAGGTCATATGACGCCATACACGGGCGACGAAACGGAAATAAAGAAACGTCCCGTGTCTTCGAATTAAACTAAAAGTTTCTCCGTATTTGGAAGTTGGTGGAAACTGTCGGGATAATGCAAGTACACATCTAATAGAAATATATAACATAGATACAGTTATTTTTGCTATTTTTAATTAAAAATTACATATTGTGGCTTTAAAGGGTTAGTTCACCCAAAAACGAAAATTCTGTCAGTATTTCCTCACCCTCATGTTGTTCCAAACCTCTATGTGTTTATTTGTTCTGCTGAACACAAAGGAAGATATTTGGAAGAATGTTTTAATCAAACAGATCTCAATGGGGAATGAGATCTGTTTGATTAAAACATTCTTCCAAATATCTTCCTTTGTGTTAAGGGACATCAAGAAATACACAGCTGAACAAACGCACACTACATTTGGAATTAATCACACAGCACAAAACGCCGTCGCTCAGAAACACTAATGCCGATGAATAAAGTTATGAATTCATGCAGTGGCATGTTTTATTTAGATGCCAGGAGGCAGAAATGAAGAATAAGACTTAAGTTTCTGCTCACTTCAGTTTCTAACCAGCAGTTAATATTCCTGTCACCAATGAATTGTCTTTATACACAATAAACAGCTGTTTCTTTGCAATTCTTCAACATTAGCAACCAATTTAACGAGGGTTTTTTCATTCAAAGTGAATTATTTCATTATTATCGATTTTCAAATATTGCCATTATTTTTGCCTATATATAATTTCATGTCATTTTATTATTATTTTTTAAAACAATCGAGTCCTGGTGTCCACTACAGAGGTCATAGCATAACATGAATAAAATATCTTTTTTTTTTTTCATTTGTTTCTTATGCTCTTTCTCTAAACTGTTTGTGATGCTTTTATTCCCCAAACAAAACATCAGCGAGACAAGAATTGTCAGTCTAACGGAGACTCGTGACCCATTGGGGTATTTTTGAACATCTGGAATGGAACTAATTCCTCTGATATTCTTTTTTTTTTTCTCTTTCTTTTTTTTTCCAGTGCTGCGTTTATGAATTGCTGCGCTGACAATCAAGCACTTGGCATAAAAAAAGTGAGTCATGATGGAAGGAACAGCCAATCAGACACTTATTTCTTAGTTGGAGGTTGAATAGAATTAAAAACCATGATGGACAAAAGTGAGAACTTTCTCTATACTTTTGGATGCCTTGAGTGAAAGAGCGCCGTACTCCCTGCGATACTGTGATTGAACCCGGAGCCCGGCTGGGGGCTGGCAGCACTGATGTAATTTCCCACAGCTGAGTCCTGACTGCTGGGGCCATACAGGTTTGACACGGGTCCAGGACTGTTTGCACCGGGGAAACCTCCAGGTCGGGGAGGGTTAGCACCTGTACAGGACACACACACACACCTGATCCACGATGCATCAAATGTCAGTCACTAAGGTGGCAGAAACAGCTTCCAGCACAGAGAATCATGGGAAAGAATACATACACTGCCGTTCAAACGCCGTTCACTCAGGTCTAAGTCCCATGGCCCGCTATCAGAATCCAGAGTTCCAAGAAGATTGGAGAAATGTAATTTTGAGTTTCTCTGATCTTCTTGAAACTCTGGATTCTGATAGAGGGCCATGGGACTTGGACCTGAATGGCAAAATGGGGACCCTTCCAGAGCTGAGATATTGAGAGCCCACGTAGCATTTATGCCATTATAAATATCTCAATATCTCAGCATAAATATCTCAATATCTCACCTCTGGAAGGGTCTAGAGCCTCCATTTTGGCACTCAGGTGTACGTCTCATGGTCCTCTTTCAGAATCCAGAGTTTCAAGAAGATTGGAGAAACTTATTTTTTCGCACAAAAAAAAAACGACAGGGGTACCACTGTCGTTTTTTTTTTTTTGGGGGGGGGGGGGGTCGAAATTTTGAATTTCTCTGATCTTCTTGAAACTCTGGATTCTGATATAGGGCCATGGGACTTACACCTGAGTGCAAAAATGGAAGCTCTAGACCCTTCCAGAGCTGAGATATCGAAACTCAAAAATTCGACCAGAAAAAAAAACGATAGTGGTACCCCTTTCGTTTTTTTTTTTCGGGCGAGAAATTAAGTTTCTCCATTCTTCTCAAAACTCTGGATTCTGATAGAGGGCCATGAGACTTAAACCTGAGTGCAAAAATGGAGGCTTTAGACCCTTCCAGAGCAGAGATATTGAAACTCAAAATTTCGACCCAAAAAAAAAAAAACGACAGTGGTACCCCTTTCGTTTTTTTTTTTTTTTTTCGGGCGAGAAATTAAGTTGCTCCAATCTTCTCAAAACTCTAGATTCTGATAGAGGGCCATGATACTTAAGCATGAGTGCAAAACTGGAGGCTCTAGACCCTTCCAGAGCTGAGATATCGAAACTCAAAAATTCGGCCCGAAAAAAAAAACGACAGTGGTACCCCTTACGTTTTTCTTTTTTGGGGCGAAAAATTAAGTTTCTCCAATCTTCCCAAAACTCTGGATTCTGATAGAGTGCCATGAGACTTAGACCTGAGTGCAAAAATGGAGGCTCTAGCCCCTTCCAGAGCTGAGATATCGAAACTCAAAAATTCGGCCCGAAAAAAAAAAAACGACAGTGGTACCCCTTACGTTTTTTTTTTGGGCGAAAAATTAAGTTTCTCCAATCTTCCCAAAACTCTGGATTCTGATAGAGGGCCGTGAGACTTAGACCTGAGTGCAAAAATGGAGGCTCTAGCCCCTTCCAGAGCTGAGATATCGGAACTCAAAAATTCGTCCCGAAAAAAAAAATGACAGTGGTACCCCTTACGTTTTTTTTTTGTGGGAGAAAAATTAAGTTTCTCCAATCTTCCCAAAACTCTGGATTCTGGTAGAGGGCCGTGAGACTTAGACCTGAGTGCAAAAATGGAGGCTCTAGCCCCTTCCAGAGCTGAGATATCGAAACTCAAAAATTCGGCCCGAAAAAAAAAAAAGACAGTGGTACCCCTTACGTTTTTTTTTTGGGGCGAAAAATTAAGTTTCTCCAATCTTCCCAAAACTCTAGATTCTGATAGAGGGCCATGAGACTTAGACCTGAGTGCAAAAATGGAGGCTCTAGCCCCTTCCAGAGCTGAGATATCAAAAACTCAAAAATTCGGCCTGAAAAAAAAACGACAGTGGTACCCCTTACGTTTTTTTTTTTTGGGCGAAAAATTAAGTTTCTCCAATCTTCCCAAAACTCTGGATTCTGATAGAGGGCCACGAGACTTAGACCTGAGTGCAAAAATGGAGGCTCTAGCCCCTTCCAGAGCTGAGATATCGAAACTCAAAAATTCGCCCGAAAAAAAAAACGACAGTGGTACCCCCTTACGTTTTTTTTTGGGGCAAAAAATTAAGTTTCTCCAATCTTCCCAAAACTCTGGATTCTGATAGAGGGCCATGAGACTTAGACCTGAGTGCAAAAATGGAGGCTCTAGCCCCTTCCAGAGCTGAGATATCGAAACTCAAAAATTCGGCCCGAAAAAAAAACGACAGTGGTACCCCTTACGTTTTTTTTTTTGGGGCGAAAAATTAAGTTTCTCCAATCTTCCCAAAACTCTGGATTCTGATAGAGGGCCATGAGACTTAGACCTGAGTGCAAAAATGGAGGCTCTAGCCCCTTCCAGAGCTGAGATCTCGAAACTCAAAATTTCGACCAGAAAAAAAAATGACAGTGTTACCCCTTACGTTTTTTTTTTTTGGGCGAAAAATTAAGAATGCCCAATCTTCTCAAAACTCTGGATTCTGATAGAGGGCCATGAGACATAGACCTGAGTGCAAAAATGGAGGCTTTAGACCCTTCCAGAGCTGAGATATCAAAACTCAAAATTTCGACCAGAAAAAAAAAACGACAATGTTACCCCTTACGTTTTTTTTTTTGGGCGAAAAATTAAGTATCCCCAATCTTCTCAAAACTCTGGATTCTGATAGAGGGCCATGAGACTTAGACCTGAGTGCAAAAATGGAGGCTCTAGAACCTTCCAGAGCTGAGATATCGAAACTCAAAGTTTCTCAGCATCCTTCGCCTTTGAGTTTGGAACACAACATTAAGGTAATACATTTTTTCTTTTACTACCTACATGCAAAATACTGGTTACATTCCATTAATAATGCATTCTTGTTACAATATGTTTCTGTGTCTTTTTTTAAAACCAATAAACATTTGTTACAATATGTTTGTCTTTCTTATAAAACCAATAAACATATTTTACAATATGTTTCTGTGTATTTATTATAAACAGTTTATGTTTAAAAACTGTATAACAGAAGACTATAAAGTATTTTACATATGGTTTCATATAAACGCTGTTTTACATAAAATATGTTTCTGTGTGTTTTTTATAAACAGTTTACGTATAAAAACTATATAACAGAAGACTATCTATAAAGTCTTTTACATATGGTTTCATATAAAAGCTGTTTTACGTAAAAGACTGTTCTATGAAGTCTTTACAAACAGATCCTTCCAGAGCTGAGATATCGAAACTCAAAGTTTCTCAGCATCCTTCGCCATTTAGTTTGGAACACAACATTAAGGTAATACATTTTTTCTTTTACTACCTACATGCATAATACTGGTTACATTCCATTAATAAAGCATTCTTACAATATGTTTCTGTGTCTTTCTTTAAAACCAATAAACATTTGTTACAATATGTTTGTGTCTTTCTTATAAAACCAATAAACATATTTTACAATATGTTTCTGTGTATTTATTATAAACAGTTTACGTATAAAAACTGTATAGCAGAAGACTATCTATAAAGTCTTTTACATATGGTTTCATATAAAAGCTGTTTTACGTAAAAGACTGTTCTATGAAGTCTTTACAAACAGATCCTTCCAGAGCTGAGATATCGAAACTCAAAATTTCGACCAGAAAAAAAAACGACAGTGTTACCCCTTACTTTTTTTTTTTTGGGCGAAAAATTAAGTATCCCCAATCTTCTCAAAACTCTGGATTCTGATAGAGGGCCATGAGACTTAGACCTGAGTGCAAAAATGGAGGCTCTAGCCCCTTCCAGAGCTGAGATATCGAAACTCAAAAATTCGGCCCGAAAAAAAAACGACAGTGGTACCCCTTACGTTTTGTTTTTTTTTTTGTCGAAAAATTAAGTTTCTCCAATCTTCCCAAAACTCTGGATTCTGATAGAGGGCCATGAGACTTAGACCTGAGTGCAAAAATGGAGGCTCTAGCCCCTTCCAGAGCTGAGATATCGAAACTCAAAAATTCAGCCCGAAAAAAAAAAACGACAGTGGTACCCCTTACGTTTTTTTTTTTTGGGCGAAAAATTAAGTTTCTCCAATCTTCTAAGTCAATCAATCTAAGTCTCATGGCCCTCTATCAGAATTTGGGAAGATTGGAGAAACTTAATTTTTCGCCCAAAAAAAAAAACGTAAGGGGATACCACTGTCGTTTTTTTTTCGGGCCGAATTTTGAGTTTCGATATCTCAGCTCTGGAAGGGGCTAGAGCCTCCATTTTTGCACTCAGGTCCAAGTCTCATGGCCCTCTATCAGAATTTGGAAGATTGGAGAAACTTAATTTTTCGCCCAAAAAAAAAACGTAAGGGGTACCACTGTCGTTTTTTTTTTCGGGCCGAATTTTTGAGTTTCGATATCTCAGCTCTGGAAGGGCTAGAGCCTCCATTTTTGCACTCAGGTCTAAGTCTCATGGCCCTCTATAGGAATTTGTGAAGATTGGAGAAACGTAATTTTTCGCCCAAAAAAAAAAACGTAGGGGTACCACTGTCGTTTTTTTTTCGGGCCGAATTTTGAGTTTCGATATCTCAGCTCTGGAAGGGGCTAGAGCCTCCATTTTTGCACTCAGGTCTAAGTCTCATGGCCCTCTATCAGAATTTGGGAAGATTGGAGAAACTTAATTTTTCGCCCAAAAAAAAAAACGTGAGGGGTACCACTGTCGTTTTTTTTTTCGGGCCGAATTTTTGAGTTTCGATATCTCAGCTCTGGAAGGGGCTAGAGCCTCCATTTTTGCACTCAGGTCTAAGTCTCATGGCCCTCTATCAGAATTTGTGAAGATTGGAGAAACTTAATTTTTCGTCCAAAAAAAAAAACGTAAGGGGTACCACTGTCGTTTTTTTTTCGGGACCGAATTTTTGAGTTCGATATCTCAGCTCTGGAAGGGGCT